GTCTATTGATAGCAACCTATACAGTGTAAATGAAACAATAAACCAGCATTCGAACCCCTGGTTCTCTCTCGGAAAGATACCAAATCGCTCTAAAAATCCCCTTTGTAATCTTTGTTCAAAGGCAAGAGAAGAATGGTCTGTTAACAGAAGCATCCAATAGCTTCAAAGAAGCGTTAGAGTTGAGCCCAGAACAGGCGACCGCCAGGGAAYGTTTAGAGAATGTAAAACAGTTGCTATTCATCAAACGTCAGGTGGGTGCAACAGACTCGTTGCTTGCTGCATGTTCCTTGCCATAGGCCTCACTGGTTTGCATGCCTCACTGGTTTGTCAGTTGAGAGAGCGAATAGGACAATGCTGCGATAAGCTGATGATGATGATGCTAATGATGGTGATGATGGTGATAGTGATAATGGTGGTGATGCTGGTAGTAATGGTGATGATGATGATTGTGATGCTAGTGATGATGTTGATGCTGGTAGTAATGGTGATGATGATGATGACGACGATGATATTAATGGATGATGATGATGACGCTGGTAATAATCATAATAGCTGTGATGATGTAATGTATTGAAATTGTTGCAGACTTCTTGCTTTACCTCTACCCTGCTATGTCCGTTTCATCACAAGTTTCGTGAACAATTAGATTTTCTTATTAATTATTATTTTCAATGTCGACATTTTGCCTTGTYGCTAATGCCAGTTTTTCTTTTCTCTTTCTATTCCCGCACTATTACTGGCTCTGTCTTACAATACTGCTCATGTTGGCTTTCATCCCGATGTGTGCTGCACGTCATTCTTCTTGGTGAACATGATGTCATTGATCGGTTTGTATCGTTGTTATTTTCCTTCATTAAATTGTACTTCATACCTTGACTGTATTTACAATAAACGAATTGTTTCATATCGTTGTGTTTGTTGAACTCAATGGTTTTGTCTTACGACTGCTTTTGATTTTCTATTACTTTTATTGATTGATTTGTTGTTTGAATGAATAAACAATGGAATGAACAAATGAACGAATGAATGAATGAACGAACGAATAAACGGATGAATGAATGAATGAATGAATGATTGATTGATTGATTGATTGATTGATTGATTTGCGTCATCGCTAAACCGTACCATTCGCACCAAACACGTACATGGTACATATATATGACATGATGGCCATTCGATCGGTCGTTGGATTGTAATATTGATGGGTCTTTGAATGAAATATGTTGGTTATACTGGATACCTATCTGTAACGGCACGTACGTTAGAGGGAAGAGAAACGTATGAACGATGAATCTGAAGTAATAAAAAGCAAGTTCAGCCATGTTCGACAGCTGATTGAAGATGAACAAACAAGAAAGAAAAAGAAGAGAAAGAAAGAAAAGTAAGTAGTTGGAATGAAAAAATGGGAAGAAAAATTTGTGAAACGAGCTTTATTTTCTTTTTTACGTTCACAGGAAGAAAAGAAAGAAACAGAGAACTGAAAAGAAAAAGAAGACGAGACGCAGATGTCGAACAACTTCAACCACAGATGATAGTTCTTCAATCGAATCTGAGAACAAAAGTCCTCTTCTAAATAAAAAAAGAGGATACGATGAGRAAGAACAAGTACCAGATCAGAAAAGGAAAATCTYCTTAAAGGATGAATACTCGCATGTYGATAGCGAACCAGCACGTAAAACGAGTGGAGTAGAAAATRTCATACATAGCGAGTCACAAGCATCTCTAATTAATCAAAGCTCTTCAACACTAAAATCGATTAATACTGAAACAACACGTCGAAAAAGACGACGACATAGTTCTCGCTCGCCTTCAACCTCTGATGAARGGACGTCAAAAACGCGTGCGCGACAAAGGAAACGGTYGCACAGTGCTAGAAGAGGATCGAGTCACTCTCGAAGCAGCTCCTCTAGTGATAGCAGAACAGCTCGCAGGTCAAGACGAAGATCTCCTGATCATTCACGTTCACCTAAATTATCACGTAGAGATAGACGATCGCACAGTACTAGTAGGGAATCAAGTCACTCTCGAAGCTATTCCAGTGATAGGAGATCGCGTGACAAATCACGGTCACGCAGAAATTCTCACCAAGAAAAGTGGTCACGCAGTACTASCAGAGACGCGAATCATTTCTATGGCAAACAGTAGTCACGCAAATGTATTTGATCGATTTAAGGGTTACGTACGGGCGGAGGGACACACGGCTTGTCTGCACGGTGTATCAGAAATGACAAAAGAAAATGTAAGCAACTGTTTCGTTTATTATAAGAAAATAAAAAAGATCTCGATTGAAATGCGTTCTTTGCTTTGAAGTTTAATCGAAAGATTATTTCTTAAATATAATGCCAACACCAACACCACCGGCTCCACTGCCTTCTCTGGGCACATGTCTAAGCATTGAAGGTGACTGCCTACTTCTGAACGTTCGATTTGAGCCCACGATGTGCTCGCGCTCTAAAACCGCTGAAAAATCTACAAGATTTTATTGAAGAACCATACGCGTTTTGAGCTTCAACAGGGCAAAACCCTCAAATTTTG